AAATTTAACACTATTGGTCTTCTAATAGTCCCAGTTCAATTAAAATTTAAAGCTGACTTTAGAGTTGGAGAATGGCTCTCTCCTTCTTTAAACTCAAGCATGTTGTTAAAAGGAAAATGCAAACCCCCTGTATCATGCCAGAATAAAAGAGCCATCTTCTGCTATGGGACAGGAGAAAAGCCAAATTAACTAAGGGACTATTCTATTACTAATCTCAACTCTTTGATTCTATTCTGATTCTTTAAAACTTTTCTTAAAGTATAAATTTTATATCAAAATTTACAAGATTAATATATAGATATATAGATATATATACATTTTAACCTTTGTTAAGATATGAATGGTCATATAGAGTATTAATTAATTCTAGAAAAAAGGCTTCAATTAGCTGCATATATATGTCCTTGTGTTCGAGTCTCTTATCAGTTTTCTGCAGGAAATCATGGCCAGGCCTAACATCAACTGAAGTCTCCAGGAAGAAGTTGGGGCCCCACAACAACAACAATTCCACGTGGACAATAATAATGTCACTAAGCTGACAAACATCATCTACAGATCAGCTTTGAACTACAAGGTGCTCATAGCAATTTTGAGATGACTAGCTGAGATGATCCAGTCTCAAAGACTACTTGAATAAAGACTTGAGATAAACCCTGAACTTTGGCATTATACACAGACTGGATAATGAAGGATATGGTTACCTTTCCTAGAATTTGACAATTAACCTAAAATTTTTCTTTCAGGATAAAGATAACTTCGCCCATACCCAGCAGGAAGCAATTTTAAGAATACGATGCCCACATTCCCAAAGAGGTGGTGTGGGGCGGGTGGTTTTTTTGGTCTTTTTAATGGGTTTTGGGTCTGGGATAATTTTCATTGTTTAGGGGAGTTGGTTATAAGTTGTTGTCAAGGGTTAGGAAAAAGGCTAAGCAAAGGAGATTAGATTTAAGGTTCTTGTTTAAAAAAAAAAGAGAAAGAAAGAAGAAGAAAAAGACAATTACTAGTTTTAAATACTTTACATTGGATTGGATTGTTTTATATTGTATACAAATTATATATATTGAAATTGATATTGTTAGAAAATGCTATATGTATATCTCTAATTGTACTTATACCATTCATTTAACAATGCAATTTTCTGATCCTTGAATGTTATTATTACCAACTATTAGGATATAAAGAAATGAAAGTTAGTAGTTACACATTACAATAGAACTTGTAGTCATATTAGATATGTTTTAAAAATTGAGCAGATATATTTTAGACAGGTCATCTTCAAACCCTTCAGAGATCTACAGAATATGGCATTTAAAATGTTTTAATAACTTAGAAAATTTTTCTTGTTATGATTATGAGACATGTCGGCTCCTGGCAGTACCAATCTACTTCAGGGAAAATATGGGCATTGAAGAAACTGTGTATGGAGTTAACTTTCATTGTGGCAAAAGTTAGCCACTGGACAACAAAGTATCCTTGAATCAACTGCTGACAAAATGGACAGACAGGACATGAAACAAAGGACTACTGATTCTTGCCAAAACAAGTGTGGTTAGGCTTTATCAAAAGGCATCTTCTGAGGCCAGGACAATATGGCACCATCCCTGAAGTGGCCTTCGCAATTCGGAAAAGGTACAGTGCCCTTTTCTTCGAAGGCAGCTGAATAAGCAGTGGGCCGATGGCTTCTGATGTGCAATGGAACAGCAGCTGAAACAGTTATTCTTGAAGAGTAACTAAGCTCATGCCTCGCAATAGTAAACTGGCATTTGACAGAGGGATGTGGAGAAGAACGGGATGCTAAGATGAAGCCATATATACACAGCCAAGAAGAATGAACAGCTGAATTAAAAAATCAACAACAATTTCCAGAATTTAAAATCCTGAATCATGACATGACACTAGTGGAATTCAGGTGTTTCTGGTACATGGACTGCTCTCACCCAATGTGAGGTTGAACTGTTGACCTTGTGTACATCCTACTTCACAAATGAGTCTGTCAGATATGCTAAGCCTATAGGCTGAAGATGATGCCCCAACACTGTGGAGAAACCTCAGGTGACTGTCCAGGCAGCTGGCTGTTTCTGTCAACTCACAAATTTTTTGGAAGTTGCTTGCATGCACTTTCTGTTTTTATTTTTGTTAGCTATTATTATTTCCTTCTTGGGTCTCTGAGGGAGTTGAAGATTAGGTAGTTATAGTTGAAGGTTAGTTAGTTATAGTTGAAGATTAATTAGGATAGAAAGTGAATTAGATACATTTTGGACTTAACAAAATAGGATAGATAATGAAATTATTTTCTCTGAATTTGTCAAATACAAATGGACTAGACATTGTTTAGACATTTATTACTTGTATATATTGTATATAGTCATTGTACTTTTGTATATAGTTTTTCTTTTGTTAGTTATAACCTTTTTCTTTTTTTTCCTTTTTATTAAAATAGAAAAGGGGAAATGTGGTGGTATTTTACTAATACTGAAATGTGATTTTAATTGTATGTTAATAAATAAAGTTGTCTGGGGGTCAGAGCTATTAGAGTCATAGCAAGTGCATGGCGGCGGCGGCGCACGCCTTTAAGGACCTGGAGGGCGGTACATTCAGGCAGTGACGAGGCAGTCACATGTTTGGGTTTACAACCAATGAGAAGGCAGAACAGGAAGACTTTAAAGACAGACACACAGGAAGTAGGTCCTTTTCGGAGAGCTCTCTTGGCTGGAGAGGATCCCTGAATCAGGAAGGGTGAGGCTCTTAGCTCTGACTTCTTGGTTTTCTTCTCTGAATTGGCTCTGTGTTTCTTATTTGATAAGACCGTTGGTTACATCTACACACTCCTTAGTCATCTGTACAGCTACCTTCCCACACATGTCACTGGCAGGCCCGCCACGTCTGACCATGAACAAATTGTTCCTGGAAAATGGCAAGACGCTTACTACTCCCCATCATGAAAAGTCAGGACCCCACCTATCCCTGGATGCGGCTCCCACTGCCTCAGCCTGACCTGACATTGGTCAAAGAGGCTTAGATTTGTCCCAGATATGGCAAGATTTCCAAGTACCCTCAAATGAGCCACCACTTTTACAGAATCAAAGTGTCCCGGGGTCCCCAGGTGTCCCGGTCTCCTGTAAAACCAAGCCATGTAGGAAGGTCTAGTTCAGTAAGAAAAGTCTAGGAAGAGAGCCTGCGTTTTAAGTACTGTGCTCTGTAACCAAGGACCAGACAGAGTGGAGAGGCTGAGGGAAGACAGAGGTATTCGCTGGGAAGTAATGTCCATGTGTGGACCACAAGAGGGAGCATGTTGCATCCCGTTCTGCTGCTTTCCCATCTTTACAGAGTCTGATGGAGAGTCAGGGAGACACTAGGAAGCACAAAGCGGCTCACTCTCAAGGAACTTATGTTAGAGGTCTGATAAAAGCGCGCTCTCAAAATCAGTTTTACCTCCTCCATCCTCCTACAGTGCCCTCTCTCTTCACTCCATTACAACTGAGTTCTCTTTCTCCCACCAGCCTCCCAGCCTCCCCAGTGAATGCCTCAGCGAAACATCGAGAAAGCATTCGGGGATTTGGGGCAATGTTACCCTGTCTCTTTGTTCTCCTCCCCCTTTACCGACGCCCCTACAGAACCCTTCTCGAGTTCATTTGAACTAAGGCAGTCTTTCCTTAGTGTCAACTACTTCTAGCCGCCATAAAAGTGCTTGTTAAAGGTGGTGCTGTTTCATGTCCAATAACTTCTTGCACCAGCGCTTCGTCAAGCCGGGAAAGTCCATCTCATACTGTGTCTTCTCCCATTGCTAAGTAAGATGTTCCTAAAAAGATCAGCCAGGTGAAGGCAATCCCTGATAAGTTTTTGGTTTCTCCCAGAAAAGAGTTCTGATTTTGTGTTTCTAAAGCAGTGTGGGGACAGGATGACGCTGGGGCAGAGCCATGAAAATGGGGGTGGGAGAACTGAATGGAGCCCTGGGGGCTTCTCTGCAGAGGAAAGAGTGGGGAGGAAGGGGCCGCCACTGGATTGCAGCAGAGAAGGAAGCCCATGGCTTCGCCTCTGCTCCCCTCCCCTCCTCCTCCTGCCACCCAGTGAAATCCACAAACACTTGTGTAAGCAACAGATAGCTAAAAGGATTTATGTAACCCACAAGGCAGGCAGAGCATACACTCAAGTTCCCCATCTATGGATTCAACTAGGAGCATTAAAAATATTTTGTGTGTGTTTGTACTGAACGTGCACAGCCTTTATTTTGTAGTTACTCTCCAGATTGTACGGTATCATAATTCTTTATACAGCATTACATTGCATTAGGTATTATAAACAACAGAGAGATGGCTTAGTCTGTGGGAGGTTGTAAGCAGGTTATATGCAAGTACTCTAGTATGTTCTAAGACAGACAAACGTGACTATATATATATCTGTGTGCACATGGAGTGAGGTCTCAGGCTGGGTGGATGACTCAACAGGTAAATGTGTGTCCCCAAGACTGAAAACATGGGTTCCATAACCAGAACTCAGATGGGTGAGGGAGAGAACTGACTCTCGCAAGTTGTCCTCTGTGGCATGTGTGCTAACACATTCTCTCTCCTCTCTCTCTCTCTCTCTCTCTCTCTCTCTCTCTCTCTCTCTCTCTCTCTCTCACACACACACACACACACACACACACACACACACACACACACACTAAAAAGCCCTTGAAGAACACACAGAAAACAGGTAGTAGTGGATGAGAACGAGGCTCTAAGGCAGTGAGAAGAATGAGGACATTCACTTTTTGCTTTGCACGTTGCTCTGGTGTTGGAAGTTTTCAATAAGCCCACACTATTTTTGGGATTTATACAACATACAAATAGGAGGGACAGTCATTTTAACCTACTCAGCATAGCCAAGATGTGGCAGGACTACTTCCTTTATTTTTCCTTCAGGTTTTACGTTTACCATCAGATTCTTAAGACATGAGAAGCCACTGACTTTCACATTCAGAAGGGTTTTTTTTTTAAGCACTGTAATTTACAGCTTACCAACAACAGTGTGGATTTCCTTCAGTATTGCTGTTTCGACCTCGGGGTACTCCGCCACGAGGAGTAACATGAAGTACAGGGTGACAGACATGGTGTCGGGGGCCGCGATCAGCATTTCCAGAATACACTGGTTCACGTTCTCTTTCGTCAGATCTCCACGTCTCTGAAGAATTGGACAGAGGAGAAAAAGGTTGGAAGACGGAATCCAAGTTTCAGAAAATGAGGGGAGGTGACTGACCCTCAAGTATCAACAGTCTCAACAAAATAAAGTTACAGGTCTCTGTAATTAGTGCCAACATTTTTACATATTAACACTCTGCTTAAAGATAAACAAATAGTAATTACCTATGTCCCATTGACCCTCCATATACTCGAGTTTCACATCTATGGATTTAACTAACTGGGCATCACATATATTTTTGTTGTGTTTTTATTAAATGGATACTGACTTTTTCATAGTTTTTCTCTAAATAATACAATATCATAACTATTAGCATAGCATTATACTGTATTAGGTATTATAAACAATCCAGAGGTGAGTGGATCCTGTGGGAGGACATAGTATGTGCAAGTGCTATGGCATGGTAGAGATAAGATTTGCATGTTCTTAGATTTTTGTATCTGGGGAGGGTTCTGGAATTAAAAGTTCCAGATATTGAGGGATGCTTTTATTTAGTGTCTTAGGTCTCCTCTCTTCCTGGTTTCATGTATTGTATTATAATACAGAAGAATTTGAATGATGAACGTCATAAAATGGCTGGTGTTTAAGCTATTTTGGTGGACTATCATAAGACTGCCTGCTCGGGGAATTTTTAAAGAGAAACCATGCCACAATTCTAAAAAGAATTCTTTAAATAATGGTACGCCATCATAATGGGGTTCGTTCAGGTCAATACCTCAGCAAAAATCAAATCAGTTGCAAAATCCATACAGTCTTCCAGTTTCTCCGCTGTGGAGACCTTGTTTCTTTTTTCTTCCACCAAAATGGCTATCTCATCTTTCAAGTCCTTGCTGTGGGGGAAAACGTCAAAATTTTCTCAGTTTAGACATCCTACAAAACAGACTCTGCTTGGTTTAAAGCCATTGGCACTCATGAGTAAGTGAGTTCATATTTCATTTCTTCACAAATATACGTAAGTTACATAAAGCATGCGTTCATTGTATGCTACCAGAGTTCACTGCGGTTTCTAAAACACTGGTAGTAATCTCAAAGCTGTGACTTGAATTCTACATTTCCATTTTTTCTAGATCTGCAGAAAGTTCTGACGAGTGTCAATGTTAGGGTGGCCCAGGCTTTTCTGTCAACTCAAAATGTACTGCAGCGCCCTTGTTCCAGGGAGCCCTCGGGCCACACATTTGGCTCCTTGTTGAGCAGGTTCTTGGCCAAGGGTTCCTTTAGTCTTTGGTCTGTCCCAATGCAGCTGCATTGCTATGGATGCTTCCCATGTTACTTAGCCACCACGCCCCTCTGCACTCTGGGGAGCATCGGACATACCAAAGCGGCCAACAGCAGCAGAGACACAAGGCAGTGTGACCACGCTTGTAAACCCTCCAAGCTTGTGCTACTTACACGGATCTTTCATACTTTCTGTAGAGCCAAGAAATCTTAAAGAAGATGTTTGGTTTGATGAGGAGAGCTTGCCATGCATTAAAATAACCCTGGATTTTTTTCACAATGGCACTTTCTGTTGAGACAAAAACAAGAAGAAATTCACTGAGGAAAATACAAGCCTATGAGCAGAACTCTGGACAGGTTCTTTTCCGAGTCACCAGTGATGATCCAGCTATATAATACTATGAGGCAAATCACTTATTAATTTATCTACTTGGCCTCTAAATTGACTAAGTTATCCATAGAGTTGCCAGTTTTCAAGCTTGTGTTTCAGACCACAGCCTGGACTCTCACACTCCCTTTTTTTGTTTGTTTGTTTGTTTCTTCGAGACAGGGTTTCTCTGTGTAGCTTTGCGCCTTTCCTGGAACTCACTCCGTAGCCCAGGCTGACCTTGAACTCACAGAGATCCACCTGCCTTTGCCTCCCAAGTGCTGAGATTAAAGGCGTGGCCACCGCCCGGCCTCACACTCCCTTTTGGTTGAGCTCCCCCCTCCCCCAACTTTTCTGGACAGAGGGGAGTGATTAGTTATTGCATCCCTGCTCCTGGCAGGGGTGTTATTTGGACAAGCTAGATGGCTTAGTGGATGAAGGTCCTTGCTTCCCAATGATCGTAATTCAATTCCTGGAACCCTCATAAAGGTGGGAGGAGACAAATAGCTCCAGAGCTGTCCTCTGACCTCCACAGGTACACAGAGTAGCACATGTGCCCCTCCCCTCTCCCGTTAATAATGAAGATGACATTAATTTTAAACCTCCAAGCCTGTTGTGCTGCTAACACTGTCCAGCTGATTTTGGAGTTTGGTGAGACATTAACTGGACCGTGCATGTGCTTGGATTACCCACCTAATTAACAGTTCCTCAGTGTCTCACTTCTCAGTGCTATATTCATGTGTGCACTCTTCACACAACCTTCATACTGACCTACGTTTGGCCCAAAGTGAAGAATTGTCCTGAGCCTCGTGCATTGTTAGTAACAGATAAATGATAATGAGTTAAGCTGAATAATGAAGAAAAAAGTCATTGCTTATTTTTTTTCACATTACACCAGACCTATATAAAAATGGGAAAGGAATCAACATTTATTCTCAACTGCCAAAATGCCAATCACTTCTAGGTTGCTTTACAGAGCTTTTAAGTTTAATCCTTATAGTCTTGCCAGGGGAGTGATAGTGTCTTTGATTTGCAAATAAAAAAAGTACAACTGATAGAAATTAAGGATGCAGCTGATATGGCCAGCAGGTCAGCTTGGGAGTTTAACAAATACCCGGTATAAAAGGAAACACAGGTAACCCACACTGGTTATACAGGTGTTGTGGCATCACAGTCTGAACCCAGTCATTGACTAAGGGAGAGATCTACAGTTCTCTTGACACAACCCTTCCTGACAATCCAGGCCTGGGGGAAGCCAAGGAGCAGGGTGGGATCAGCGTGTCTAGTTAACCTCAGCAGAAACGTATTCAGGGAGGTTAGAAGCAGACCAGGCAAAAGGTGACGCAAAAACTTCCCAGAGTAAATGCATAGTTAGATAAAGTTTCTATAGCCCTCCTGAGGAACAGTCGACTAGAGAAGACAATCTCCTCCCGGCCATGGGAGAAAGGGAGGTCTCATAGCTGATCTTGTTCAAATGTGGGAAGTCAGGTGACACATGGATGACTCAGAAGGGTTTCCTCAAATGCTAGGGCGTAGACATCGTTCTCCTGCCTACACTGTTGTCTTTCAGCTCTGCACATGGCTGTGACTTCACTTTGTTCAGGCTGTGTTTAAATGTCCTCTGTGAAGAGATCTTTCCTGACCACTCAACTCCATAATGACTATGCCCACACTGCCACCCCGTCTCAGTCCCTGCCCTTTTACCTTGGTTTGGTTTTGCCTCAAGGCATTTATTATTGCCTACTGTGTAATTTGGTAATTACTTGTTTTACTGCCCATACACCCCTACTGCAATATAAGCTCCTCAAAGGTGAAAATTGTACCCATCTTCCTGGCTCTCCTCAGAACCTAAAACATTGAATAGCAGCCAATACATGTTGTTGAGTGAATGAATGAACCAATGAACATGGTTATAAATTAATTTAGAAAAGTCTCATACTAATGTCAATGGCAGAGTGGAATTTACCCAAATAACTGTTTGCTTTTAGGTGGTGGTAGTAATGTGTACATTTAAAAATATTCATCTTTTCTAGCTTAGTGGAGAAGGTGAGATGTCAGGTTGGTATAAATATTAAATGGCAGACATGTACATAAAGTGTCTTTTCATATTGTTTGGTATATAATAGATACTAAATTAGTGGCAGCTGTTATCATCATTTCTGGCATTATAGGCAGCATTGTTACCTCCTTTTATCATATACAGTCAAGTTCTCATAGAGAGTACCTTTGAGAGAAGGAATATGTACCATATAAATAAATAGTTGCATGGGTATATATCATGCCCAAAAGAATGATTGGAAATTGTTAAATACATCCAATTTTCCAGCTCTATGTTAATGACCACACAAACTGATAATCTTTGCCTAGAGTAGAGTGTTATGTCCCAGAGCAACACAGGAGGCAGAGAAGAGATGGAGGTTGACCTCTGCTTTGAAAGTTTATAGCCTAGAAATGAACAGGGAGAAACACTACAGGGAAATGCCCTACGGAATACTTAGAAACGCTCACTTAACCATGAGCAACATACAGAGTAGCACTTTGCTTCAGCGTGCTGTCCCCATGTGCCCTGTTTAAAAGGGGGCAGGAGGCATGAGAATTCAAAATCCAGTACCATCCAGGGGGATCCCCAGGAACAGCATGTTAGAGGTGTCCAGCATGATGTGCCGCATGAGGGTCAACACATCCACGTAGCCTGAGTTGTCGGTGACTTCGTCCAGCCTGTCCAAATGCTGCTTGATGGACTCTGTGCAAACTTCTACCATTCGAATGAGACCGGGGCCTGTCAGAGCTGAAGGACAGAGATTTGGCCATCACAAACACCAGGACACACACGAGCAGGCTGTTTTGCCTTTTTATGTCAGGAGCAATTGCCCTCACCTTTACATTCGATAACAGGATGAGAATTTGCATAATCTTCTCCATACCTTCCTGTGTTATCCTGATTTTCTGTAAGAAGTGCTTATCGTTTTGACTAAAAATTAGTGAATGTTAATTTTAAAAGATGATTCAAATTCAAGCCCTTTTTTAAGCCCTAGTTAATCATTTGTGAGGCTGCAGATGAAACAGTCATTTTTTCTGGGTACAATAACCAACGGTACTTTTTTACACTTACTGTACGTATTTCCCTTGAGATGATGGTTCGGATTTGGTCAGGATCACATTTCCTTTACGTTTTAGCATGTGGAAGGACAATACTACAGAACCAGTGAAGCTGGTCCTTAACCATTTCACCTAAGATGCGTGCGTCCTAGTTAGCACGGGTGTGCAATGCCAGTCTTAGGAACACCGACCGTGTGTCCTTCTCTTACCCTTAGCCGTTCTTCAGATTAGCTCCAGATTCATTTTACACAGCAAAGGCAGGCAGAGCAATTGCTCGTTTGCTTTACAGGCTTCAATGACCAAGGAACTTCTCAAAGAGGGTGACAACTACTTCCTGGCATTGTCCTTCAACCAATCTTGCATAAGGGTCCTCAACACATGTTTGTCAAATAAATGAATGAGCAAATGGATGGACAAATGAGTGGATGGGTGGATGAATGAATGAACGAATGAATGAATACAGGTAAAGTGACTTGGCTCTGCCCTCCCTTTGCTCTGCTCCTGGCCCTCTGGGTACTGGCCCTGGTAGCCCATCGTGGTAGTTTCTTTAAGTTTCCTTTGGGACTATTCTCTATTTTTGTGTCTTCTGTTATTCAGACTTGCTGAGAAAGATCTTTAAATGACATGGAAATTTTTGGGGTACCTTGAAGGCAATCATTCTCTCAAATCAGGAGATCATTCTCTCAAAAAGGAGAAACATATATCAGAAGGCCGACTTAGCAAATAAGAAAGGGCCGGGCGGTGGTGGCTCACGCCTTTAATCCCAGCACTCGGGAGGCAGAGCCAGGCGGATCTCTGTGAGTTCGAGGCCAGCCTGGTCTACAGAGCGAGTACCAGGAAAGGCGCAAAAGCTACACAGAGAAACCCTGTCTCGAAAAACAAAAAAAAAAAACAAAAAAAACAAAGCAAATAAGAAAGGAAGCTTGCCAGCATGGCAGCTCACACCAATAATCCCAGCACTCTAGGGCCTGTGGCAGAAGGATTCTTAGAAGTTCAAGGCCGGTTTGGGCCCCATAATGAGTTTCAGGCCAGTATAGGCTACAGAGTAGGATCTTGTCAAGAAAGAATGTGGTAGACAGTGTGTGTTGGGGGTGGAGGATGGGGAGAAGGAAGGGAAGGGAGGGAAAATGGAGTAGCAGAGATCTGGGGATACCAGTCTAAAGACACTCTAAAGATCCCCAAATGTGTTAAAGAAGGCTGAAGTAGAAGCCTTCCTCCAAGTGGAGGAAGTTCTCTGTTCTCTGGGTAATGATCACATTCAAGAGAAGGACAAATCATCCCTTAATGACTCAGCTTTTGGTATGGAAGGGGTGGCTCCACATGTCACTCACGGTTTCCTTCCAGGTGAGTGCAGGATTTGCCTCTATGACCAAGAACTTGAAGCCATACTTCACAGACCAGCAGAGTACAATATGATGGCTTATGGGCATTAGTGTATGTAGATATGATTTAACGCTTAAATGTACTTAAAAGTACTCTCATCTTGGTCAAGAGAAGAATCAGCAAGTAATCAAATTTCATCTATAAATAGCTCTTTGGGCAGTTTCAGTGCACAACTTCTCTCTACTCCTACCTACCTCTCCCCCATCTCCCAGGATGAACCATTTCCACAGCTGTGTCTACCTGCTTCCCTACACTCCCCATAGATTAACACTTCATAATGTTACTGGCTTAGACTCCAACATGTGTCCCATTTTTTTCTACTTTCCCAGGAAAACCAAAAGACTCTAACTCCAAAAGAAGAGTTGTTGAGATGCTTAGGACTCTCATTAATTTTATAAAGATGTCAGGCACTTCAGTATGCTTTTTAGTAAGTAATTAGCTTACTGTTTTTGGAATTTACTTGGGGTCTAATTTTATAACATTTTATTAAAAAGTCTGATCTCAGATATACAGGGCTAGTCTAAAACATTTACCAAGATGTGTTGACAAATCTCCAAGTTCTGCTAAAATGTCCCCCTTTCCACCGTTCTTGTCCCCATGACCTCTCCTCTGCCTGCCTCTCGTCGCTGCAGTAACCCCCACACGTTTTCATTCTCCGTGGTTGTGTTTTGTTCTCCTTAACTTTCGTCTGTTCCCAAGGACAGACACACAGACATATGTCCATATCATTTTCATTGAAAGATTTAGCGAATCCTTGTAACTCCTGAGACATGCTCAAGTCCTTGACTTAATAAGAAGTGTCTTGAGTGATTTGGACCTGTCTTTCTCTTGCCTGATGTTTGTCCATGAAAGGTTCCTGGATATGCCCTGACGCTCCGTCTTTCTCAGCTGTCAAATATCCCATCCTTTGCTCCTACAGGGTCTTTCTTTGTTACACTTTGTTAGATTTTACTTCATTCAAAATTCATCATAAACATCCACTGCCCTAAAGTGTCTTTCCTGATCCCTTAGTGGCTTCAGGTGGCCCATGTATCTAGTCTCTGCTGTCTGGTGCAACCTCACCTAGACAGTATTTGGTGATACACAGGCCCACCTTACCCAGCCTTCCCATTACATGGTCCTCAAAGGGCAGAACCAAGTCTTTCTTATCATTGTATTATTAGTATCTAATACAATGATGAGAACAGTAGTTTGTTAAAGAAAAATAAATTAATAGAATTTAGAGATTCTATTAATTCTTGAATGTTAAGAGTACAGGATATTGGTATGTGAAAGTTAGCTACTCCTAAATGCTAATTGACATATTCTTAGTAAAGCTGGGTCAAATGACAAAGTAAAATACAATTTATATTTCTATGGAGTCAGACACGTATATGTGTTCTTTACAACAGCTCATGTCCCAGTTCTATAATATGCATCAATTTCTGTGGATTAAGAAAGCACACAGATACTAATTGACTTGCTGAAGTCCTCCTATAAGTAGTAAACGACAGTGTTGGGACATGAGCCCACTATAATCCTGAGACACGTACCTTTCCACTAACCCAGCGTCAGTCTTGTAAGGCACAGGGAGATGGATCTGCTTCAACATAGTAGCACACACACAAAAACTCTCCAAAGTTGTCTAGGGTCCTAATCCCAAAATGATTCAAGTGTGTGTCCTCAAGAAGAGGAGATTATGGTGTGTCATCATGGTAAGCCCAAACCAATCCCAAGAGTCATTAGTGAGGAAATTTTCCCATCTGAGGTCATAAGCGAAGGTGGGGCAGAGGTGTGCGGTGTGAAGAGGAGTGGACCTGTCACCCCCAGACAAGGAATGAACGTGGGGCTCCGAAGCTGGAAGAGTTGAGATCAATGACGCCTCCTATCCACGGGCTTGCCATGGCCTGCTGAGACCCACAACAGACCTCTGACTGGCAGAAGTTTAAGACAGCAAGCCTGTCACTCACCCCAAGCTGTCTAGTGTGTTACAGCAGCCAGAGGAAGCCCTTGGCTTCCTATAGCAGCGTGGCTAGGTCCTAGAGATCTGCAGAGCCTGCATGGAAAGAAGAATTTGGATGGTACACGGTCATACCTAAAATCCATGTAGCTCCAGATGCCATCTCTGACAAGGTTGCCAAGGCATGGCTATCTTTTCTGATACTTGATTTAGCATCAAAAAATGGCCTTATATAGTCCTCAACAGCTTCATTTTCCGAATGATATAGTAAGGGGTAAGTGCTGGATAAGGAGGCTTGGACCTGAGTCTCTGCTGACCTCTGCCTTCTCTGCTGGTGCAAATCTCATCCCTTCTAGGACTTCATTTCTTCAACCACAAAACTCAGAGGCCAGATGAAGTCACACACAGTCTTCCCCTGTAAGATTCTCTCGTTGTCCTCTCTTAAAATGTGTGGCCTGTCAGAGAGCGGGTCTGCCAGTGTGTTGTGTAGTCGTGTTTAGATCAAACACTGAGCTAAAACGCTAAATCCTTAGTTGAAATGACCCTCGGGCAGGTCAATCTCTTCCGTTTGGCTATATCCATAGACTCTGGGATTGTATTCTGGGGGCTAATGTTGTAATCTTGGGCAAGTAATTTAACCTGTTTGAAACTTGTTTTCCTGCCTATAAAATGCAGGTGATATGAAATGTCTCCATATGAGGTTGCTGTGGAATTACAATGTCAAGTGTCTAGGATGATGTTTGATGCATAAGCAAAGGTATAAAGAAGCTTTATTCATATTATTTCAAAATTATGTGGCAGCAAAATTTGAATCATATTTTTTTTTTTTTTTTTTTTTTTTACTTTTTCGAGACAGAGTTTCTCTGTGCAGTTTTGGTGCCTGTTCTGGATCTGTAGACTAGACTGGCCTCGAACTCACAGAGATCCGCCTGCCTCTGCCTCCCGAGTGCTGGGATTAAAGGCGTGCACCGCCACCGCCCGGCTTAAATCATATTTTTTTAAAAAGAAGTACATTTATAGACCTGAGAAAAGAATGTAGCATTCCTGTTTACCTTTCATAAAGAAAGGGCGAATTGTTTTCCAAAGGTCGGGGTTATTGTTAAATATGATGCCATTCTCATGCATTCCGATGCACTGCAGTCCACGTTTACTGCCAAATCTGGAGATGTAGTTACTGTGCTTCATGACATGGAACATACTTGAGGACCTGTAAAGAAAGCGAACCTTGGTGTTAAGCCGACGGAGGGGAGGGGATTTATGGCAGTTCATTCAGACTGTGTGGTGACTTTCTTAACAGAAGCATGTTGATCCAAATACAAAGTATGGTTTCTAGTATTCAGGTTGAGTAAGCATGCTGGGAAGCATGAGAACACCCTAGTTTAATCTACTTTCTGATCCCTTACGTATCACGGTAGGGAGAGGGGGAAGCCCTGAGTCTCGGAGTCCTGAGTCAATGAATGTGTGCTGTTGACAAGGGCACCGCCATGTCAGTGATCAGAAGAAAACGGCAGAGCCTTCCTTCCCTTCTGGTCCACGTGTGGATGTTGACAGTGCGTACAGAAAACACCCACCATCACGTCCTCCCCCGGATGGACTGCTCCCCTATAGAGACTGTTCCCAGTGGGATTAGCTAAAGCTGCCTCCTTGATCCAACTGTATACCATAAACCCCGCCTCCTTATCTGTATGTAACAACCCCAGTCCTTGCTCAGCTGTATGCAGTGACCCTGCCTCCCTGTTCAACCCTACATAATAAGCATGCTGAGTTTGGGGGATGAGGGGAATGCCCGTGGTTTATTCTACTGGAATTAATTTAAAAATAAAAAAACTCTAAAATAATAATAATGCTAAGAAATAACTTATTTAGTTGACATTTATTTCAGAAAAAACTTAAATAAAAGCTATCAAAACAAAGTCTCCCAATTTAATTTCCAATAATATTCTTAAAATGACTCAAGTTTTTGACAAGTTTTTCTTTCTAAAAACAAAAACAAAAATTCACACGGTTCAAATTGAATGCCAACAAATTAACCTGGCGTTTCAAATTTTACTTAGGTAGAATTATCACTCTATAAAACAGACTGAAATTACTGACAACTAAAATAAGACCTATTGCTTCCCTTCCCTTTTCCTAGCTTACTCTATAAGTAAAGCATTCTTCGTTCACAACCTTGTAGCTAACGATTTTCAGTACCTGAGGGATGGACAGAGCCTTGTTTTTTTTTTTTTTCTGCCCTGGCTCCCAAGGATTATGTATACTACATTTGTCTTGTGGACCCTACTGAACGTTAGCTACCGTTTAAAAATCCACGTGTCCCTTAGGGGGCGCTATCGTCCCAGTTATCTTCAGTCGGAAGTTCTGCCAAGCAGAGAAACCATCAGGGGAAAATGCCAGCCGCAGAAAGGCCCTTTCAAGCAAGGTCATTTATCAAAGTGAGGCGGAATGAATAAAGCGGTAAATTGGACAGCGAGGGAGAAGACTATTGAAGGACAAGGGGCCCCAGGCCACGCTCCTCCTGGCCCTCCCAGAGACCTGGCCCTGAAGCCAAGCCAGGCTGGGGAAAACGTCCTGTTTGGGAGAGTGAATATTTGTCAGCAGAGTCCCCAGGTTCAGAAGAGACAGTGAACAGTGTAACGCCACTGAGGTCAGAGGTCATACTTTTAAACATGGCTGAAGTTAAGACATCACCAAAATGGGCAACCCCCCCCCCCAGCTTGGTATTTCTACTCTGTCTCCCTCATCCGTCCTCTCTCTCATCTCTGTTGTGAGTCTGTCTCCAAACTAAGACTTGAGAGATTTTCCTGAGGAAAGAGTAGTAGCTAGAAGACAACCCCTGGGACCCACGCTATGTGCTCGGCCTTCCTTCCCATTGCTATGGTTGAAATGTTATGTCCTTATTCAAGACTAGTCCCCCAACATGTCCCTGAGACAGCTTCACATTTCACATAGCACCCCCTTTTCTTCATTAGCAATTCCTCGGTAGTTCACCAATCCCACCACAACTCCCAGGCGCAACATGACCAGATGCCTTCTTATCTCTAATCAAGTCTTTACCGAGATTCCTTTCAGATTCCTTTCAGGCCCTCTGCCATCGTTGCTGTGCTCCTGCCTCACGGCCCCTGCTTCTGCTGCTCCTTCTGTATGATGCACTTTTCTCCAGAGCTCTGTCTGGATCACATCTTCACTTCGAGTCTTTTGAAAGGTGTATTTTATCTTTCCTTTTTCGTGTGTGTGTGTGTGTGTGTGTGTGTGTGTGTGTGTGTGTGTGTACCTATGTCTACATCTATGTAGGCAGACGTGTGTGAGTGTAGACACGGAAGCCTTCAGTTGATGCCAGGAATCATCTTTGGTCAATCTTCCACCTTATTCATTGGTGCATTTCCCAGCCCTCCTTTTGAGTCTGCCATCAACAAGGCCTGCCCCAAACTACCAACTCACTCACAATTATACATACAACGATCCCCACAACTAGTCCTCCTAACCTCCCCCCACCCCATATAGTACATATCTACTAATATATATCTATACATAACTACATATCTATAATCCTTGGGACTGTCTCAACTTCAGCACTAAAAGTCCCCTAGCTTAGAAAATCTCCTAATCTCAGGCAAACTGAACAGTTGGCCATCATGTATACACTTGCATCACAGATGGACTGCACAGTTAACAATGTGGCCCCATGAGATTATGTCACTTAATTACTATAGTGACCATCTTATATACTGTATGATGCTCATACACTGACAAAATATCCTAAGAATGCATTTCCCAGAATGCATTTCGCAGAATGCACCCATCATTAAGGAATGCATGACTAGACTGTACATTTCATTTGTTTATTCACAGCATACTAACTGTATGTTGTCCCACGATGGCGGGAACTTTGAGCCATTTTTATTCTCCAAATATAATACTACTGTGTTCCTAGAGTAGAACCTGGTGTTCAGTATCTTCTCATTTATCAAAGGAATAAAAAGCCAATCAGTACTGTTAGTGTTAAGTCTCAAACCTGGGACAAATGGCTAACGAACTGAGGGGCCTATTTAACATACTGCTCCTAGGTATGTTGGAGGAGAAAGTTTATTGTAGATATGAGGTGCAGCATAGGCAGAGATGGAGATAGAGACATCTGGGAGAGTCCAGGGTGAACATGGCCAGACTGAACTGGGCCATGTGAGGAGAGGAGGCGGGGAGAGGGGACAGCTGCCAACCAAGATGGGTGGCCTGGGCCAAGAGACTGGCCAATAGGGTAATGGAGAGACTAAAAGAGCCAGGTAACCAAAATGGCTGATTATACAGGGAAGGGCAGCTGGGGGAAGGGCAGCCCAGTCCCAGGGCTGGAGAAGTTTAAGGTAGGGGGCAAGGTTTGCCAGCCACACCCTGTAACAGGTAGGGGCTGAGGAATGCTGGGAGAACCTGGCAGCCAGGTCCACTTTGATATGTTAAATAGGCACCTCAGTTAGCCATTTGTTCAGGGTTGGAGAGCTGACACTTAGTACATACGCTCTTAATATAAGTTGAATGAATTCCTTGTAAATTTACACATAATTAAGACAGGTGTGCAAATGAAACTTTCCCTGCCATATTAATCGTGAATTATCCTTTACGAATGCCATTTAAATTATTTTATTTTTGTATTTGTGACAAAATGAATTGTACACACATACTGGACATACAGTATAGCATCTGTAGGTGTGGAGCGGAACTGCCCGAGGGCACTGTGCTTGCTCTTTGGCGGATTCCATAGTCACGCACATCTCAGAGCCTTACCTCAAAGCCTCCAGGATGTGCAGGCAGCATGCAAGCAGCCCCCCTCCTGACTGCCCCCCCTGAAATTCTGCAGCCTCTGATCCTTTGGGACAGGGCTGATTGGAAAAGTTGGACTGCCGTCACTCCACGGTAGTAATGACTCTACACCTCAAACTTTTCAAAAGGAAGAGAGATCTGGCGAACCATCCAAATCAAAACAACAATCTTGCGGAGGTCCGACGGGTTTGTTTCAAGAGGTACAGGTAGTTCTGGAAAGGACTTGAAGAGCAGGCAAGGGAAGGAGATGGGAACAAACTCATCCTATTCCAGAGGGGAGCTCAGCCCTTAACAATAAAATGGAGGGCTTGGAGGCAATTAAGGAGATCACAAAGGCTCCAACAAGTGAAAGGACTTCGGGAACATAACAAGAAATGAGCTGGAGGAGCTGGGGGAGGGGAGGTAGGCTGTATCCGTGCCTGTGCCTCCGTGACTGCTGGCCAGAGTCTCTAAAGTTGCTTCCCTCATGGAGAAGGAAGGGTAGGATGGTCCTGACTGTGACAAGGACCCCACTTTAGGAGTTGTATGTGGACATCCAATGGATTTGTCTGGTGACCTAAGTTTCTAAATGTCCACTCTCTGGGAGCAACGTTACCTAGGACTCGGTTCTCAAATCTATCATTCTTCGTTTCAAATCTAGTCTTAGACCCATCACCTTGGCTAGTCTCAAGGGTAATGCAGCAAGAGGAGAGATACTCCAGAGCTGCTTAGCTGTTTGCCCTAGTCCCAGAGAAAGGCGCTCTGGCTCCAGGAACAACTTTTTCCTCCTTTCCCAAGCTCCACAGGTAGGAGTTTCCCAAGCTCCACAGCTCTCTGGAATCACCCAGAGAGCTTAAACAGCACTGGCATCTGTCCACACCCAGGCTTGATCTCAGAGCCCAAGCATTAGGGTTCCTACTGCTCCCTGGCTGGCTTGCCCATGAAAGAACTGCTGCGCTTCTGGATAAATATCCCGAGGCATATTTCACCTGTTTGCCAGGGGAAAGGGGAAAGGAAGCCATGCTAAGCAGAGTAGAGCTAGCAGGCCTGTCGATGTGCCAAAAAGCAGAAGTGACTGTCCCCATCCCCAAACCTAAATGGCATCAGTTACAAGACATTTTTTTAAGACAATAACCAATTGAAAAGTGACTGAAACACCGAAGACATAGCGAAAATGTGTCAAATCGGCTTGAGTTAGGCTGGCCAGAGCTCAGTAGACCATAACAGAGCAAATCAAAGCTGTGATCCCGGCATTGGAGCAAGGCCTCGGAACCATCTGGAAACTTGTCAAAGCAGACCATGGGGGCCTAGTCCAGATTTTTATTTAGTAGGTCCTGGTGGAGTACAAGCATGTACATTTCTAATGAGTTCTGAGCTCTGTGGTGGTTTGCTGCTGAAGGAATCCTGCCAGGAAACCTCAGCGTTGGTCCGTGAGGAGCTTGACACTTTCGCCCACAGCTGCTCAGGACTGTGTAGATGTGGTCTGCCTTAGCCGTTCTTCAAAATGCTATAACATCAGACTAAATGAAACAAGGAAACCTCAGGCCAAAACTAAGGAACTGGATAGATCCAAAACAGCACCACCGGGGATATTGAAATATTTGAAATTATAGGATGTTTTTCTTCCTTGTGTCCCTTCCAGTATTTACTTCAAAGAACTGGGCTTCAGGATACTATTAGATTCAATAAAATGATATATATATATAATCAAATGAATCAGTAAAACGCCTCAGTAGATTTTAGCTTGTGGGAAAAGTTCTATCAGAGGTTATAAAATATTTATGATATGGTGGTTGTAGATAACTTTGCTAAAAAATTAACTTGAGATAGCTGGAAGTCTAGTGGCATATACCTTCTTTTAATTCCTCCATCTTCTCAAATCAATAGACAAGAAAACTAGCAAACAAGAAAACAGTTCATTTTTTTTTTTTTTTTTTTTTATCATTCTTAATAGTCGATTCGTATTTAGTTAATCCTAGGACAGATGCAATCCAGCAAAGTACGGCAGTGTGGGAGGGAGGGCTTTGGTTTGTAATGGGCACTTCTGATCCTGATTGGTTTCAGGTGAATCAGCCATGATGCCAGCACAGAGCCAGAGGGCAGCAGCTGGTGGCTTCCCTCTGTGCTGTTTGCTGCCTCAAAGATGTCCAGGAACCTGCAGGGTGACCACGCTAAGATCAGCCTCTCTTTTGCTGCTGTTTAAGGATTGGGGGGATTGTTTTGGTTTGGTTTTTATTTTCTGTACACTGACTTGTAGAAATAATCTCAGGAAAGCAGAAAAAAAAGTTATCTTTTCCCTAAAGCATGCTTGGCCAAAACCATTTGGACCCTGAGTTACCACATTTGCTACTCAGAGAAATTTTGAATGACTTCCCAACTGTCTATGGTTCTACGTGTCTCTGGCTTCGACTCAAGAAACTTTCAATTATTTTGCTTATCAGACTGCTACATGGCCGTTTTTCTGTCTTCATTTCCACAAGGGTGGGCGGGGGGTGGGGAGAGAAGCTTTACCAAAATATGGTTTTTTTTTTAGTAGGAAAAACTCAATATTGTTTTTAAAAAATAGGAAAAGTTTCCGCCTTGCTTTAAAGGGAGCAACAGGAGTAGTCGAAGCGGTAGTGGCGTTTGTACGGAGTATTGAACCCAGGCCCGGCACACACTAAGCGCACATTCTTGCTGAGGTAACCCTCCTCGGCCATTCCAGCCCGGTTTAGTCATAGACTCACTTGCTGATAATGAGTGTTTCCTCTCCGCTGATCCAGACTCTCATGAACTCTCCGTACATCTTATTATAGTAATTGCAGGCACCTCCAATCCCCATCCACAAGAATCTGCCATGGGAGATGAGGGGTCCGATTCCCAGACAGTAGCCAGGACCTACAACAGTCATGAGATGATGGTGAACTTCTTAATAACGCCAAAAGAGTTGTTCTTCCTTTTTTAAAAATAATATGTATTTGTATTTTATGTACATTGGTGTTTTGCCTGCATGTAGGTCCGTGTGAGGGTGTCAGATCCGCTGGAATAGGAGTTATAGACAGTGGTGAACTGCCACGTGGGTGCTGGGAATTGAACCTGGGTCCTCTGGAAGAGTAGCCAATGCTCTTAACTGCTGAGCCATCTCGCCAGCCCCAGAGTTGTTCTTTCATATTTAATTTTTTTTTTACATCTTCTGGTCTATATGGGAGTTCAACATGATTTAGAACAAAACACGAGACTCTCTACCTCTTCATGAGTGAGAAGCACATGGCTACACACTAATTCCTCATGGTCTGTCATTTCAGTCCCACTCAACAGGAGGCTCTTTGCTAATTTCTGAGAGTCATGAATAAAAATCATTTGATCTGTCTGCTAATAAGCATAGAAACTGTGACAGATGACAAGCTGAGGAACTGTATGGCTTCCTGCTGCTCTTTATCCGGAAGCTCTTGGTTGTGAACAGCCCGGTTGAGAGAATGAATGGGTTAGAACTGAGCATGGCTTCCTTTTGTGAGAGAGAAGGTCTGCAAGGATAATGTCCAATCTCAGAGCATCCACTGCCTACAAAAGGCTCAGTTTATAAAGAGGAGCCTTAAGCAAAAATCTTACGAGGTAACACAAACCTGAGAACTCATTACCTATGCCAGAGCTCATGTACCAGGATCCAGTTTCAGCCAAGAGCAATAGCCAGCTTATAGCCTTGCTTACATGGATAATGGCAGCAGCGTTCAGAGCATGAACTCGGGGAAAAGGTAGGAAACTTCATGTGGTTTATATCACAAGATGAACTGGTAGCTTGAATTTGTTCTGTTAAAGTGCTAGGTTAGCATGCAAAGTAATGGGTTTCATTATGTTACCAGCATTTTTACACATATGCTCTGTGTACTTAGTTTATTTTTTTTTTTGAGAACAGGTTTAAACTACTTAGTTCAGGGTGTCCTTGAACATCAAGATTCTCCTGCCTCAGTTTCCCAAGTATTAGGATTCCAATCAAACCTGCTAGACTTTATTTTACTAGTGACTGATAAAAAGTTAGATAAAAAGAATTCAATATTATAAAAATTGCCATGTAAAATAATTTTCCTAAATCTTTTTTAAAATGTCATGTTGTCAATGACATTGCTATAAAGCCGAACGTGTATGAGACAACAAGAGCGATGTGATAATCTGGAAGGTGTACGCTCTTAGTTGACTCATCTGACCTGGATATTTACTCCCAAGTTAGCAATTTTAACCACTCATTTTATAGTAACGAGTTCCTATTAATACAGTTATCAGACTTCTTCCCCATGTTTGAAGCAAAGATCTTTGAATCAAAAGAGCAATAGGATCAAAGTTTTCAATCTTCTAACTCTAGTAGCACTACATTATCCCATAGATGACTGACATATCAAAGTAATTCCCTTACATTCTTTCAAAGATGTAAACAAGCAGATTTGACTGAATATATATTTCTTCAAAATATCAGCTGTATCAACTTTTAATCTATTAAAATATGTGTTGTAAACAAAATACCATTTATATTATAAATTAGTACATCACAGATGCTTACTTAGTAAATGTTTTCAAATAAACAAGGTATGTGCATATAATATAAAGAGTGAACTTTTGAATGTTGTTCTTGACACACACGTACACACAGAACACACACATATACAGACACATACACATGCACATACAAGTAAAATTTTTAAATGCAATAAGAGCAATTTTTATTCTTCCTTAGGGTGCTTTAGGTTGTATTTACATTTTGATAAAAAATGGAAGACTCACAGGGCAGCAGTGGTGCACACCTTTAATCCCAGCACTTGGGAGGCAGAGCCAGGAGGATCTCTGTGAGTTCGAGGCCAGCCTGGTCTACAGAACGAGATCCAGAACAGGCACCAAAACTACACAGAGAAACTTGTCTTGAGAAGAAGAAGAAGAAGAAGAAGAAGAAGAAGAAGAAGAAGAAGAAGAAGAAGAAGAAGAAGAAGAAGAAGAAGAAGAAGAAGAAGAGCAAGAAGAAGAAGAACAAGAAGAACAAGAAGAAGAAGAAGAAGAAGAACAAGAAGAACAAGAAGAAGAAGAAGAAGAACAAGAAGAAGAAGAAGAACAAGAACAAGAAGAACAAGAACAAGAAGAAGAACAAGAAGAACAAGAACAAGAAGAACAAGAACAAGAAGAACAAGAACAAGAACAAGAACAAGAAGAACAAGAACAAGAAGAACAAGAACAAGAACAAGAAGAAGAACAAGAAGAAGAAGAAGAAGAACAAGAAGAAGAACAAGAAGAAGAACAAGAAGAACAAGAACAAGAAGAAGAACAAGAACAAGAACAAGAAGAACAAGAAGAACAAGAACAAGAAGAACAAGAACAAGAACAAGAAGAACAAGAACAAGAAGGAAGAGGAGGAGGTGAAGGAGGAGGAGGAGGAGGAGGAGAAGGAGAAGAAGAAGAAGAAGAAGAAGAAGAAGAAGAAGAAGAAGAAGAAGAAGAAGAAGAAGAAGAAGAAGAAGAAGAAGAAGAAGAAGACTAACACAAAATCTGAAGCTCTCTGAGATCTGTCTGCCTCTACCTTCCAAGTGCTGGGATTAAAGATGTGTGCCACCTTGCCTGACCAAAGTGAAACATTTGTTTAAAAAATATGACAATGGAGATTTTTATCTACTGGAAAATGAAGATTGCTAGACAGTACATGGGTTAAGAACCTGAGGGTTCTGCCAGGATGAGAAGCAGAGTTTGGGGTCATTAATGACCACCTGTCTATCACCTTAGTTTATCCAAGAAACACTTATGGAGGCCCTATTGTAGACATTTGTTCCAAGTCAGGGTCTAGAGATTCCATGGTAAGTATAATAATTCTATATTCTTCAGGGTAGTTGAGAAGATGTGAAAACTATAAAAGCAGGTAATTATAACACATTGTGGGTGTGTGTGTGCACATATTCCTTGCATCTACATGAAAATCTTGCACTACGCCCAGATGGAAAGCTACTCTAAGTGGTAAAATATGAGGGAAGTATTCTAGTCACTTCCACATTAGGCAGCTCTCTGCTTCTCAGATTGGGAATGCTTCTCTAGGCATAGGATGATTGTGAGAGACCCCTCACCTGCTCCAGGAGCAGTATATACTTCACTGTACACTGATATGCCCAGATTGCCCCCTAAAAGCTAGCAGCTAGGAACACTTACCAGCTCTCCTAGTCAGAGAATGATATTCACACCTATGAATATACCCTCAAGAGCCTCAGGCACACACTGTTACAGCAATGCTGTCCACAGTAACCCAACTGGAGACATTGTCTGATGAATAAACCATGAGATATGCATAACATCCAAAACTATATGATGGCGAAAAGGAAGCACACTGATATCACCATCATGGATGGATCTTACATACAGTAATCAGAAGGGGCAAGAAAGACAAGTAGTATACAATTTATTGCTAAAATATTTAAAACAAGACAAAAACTATATTGTCTGGGAATGTGAAATTGGGTCCCAAATTGTAACATAACAAGGCAGTAATTGCTACAAAATCAAGCAAAATGTTTACCTCTGAGTGAGACCAAAGGAAAAAGAGAAGGAGGCAGAGACGGGGAGAGGGGAGAAGAGAGGGGTCGGGAGAAGGGGAGAGAGGGAGAAGGGAGGCGTCAAGAGCATCTGGCACACTGTTAACATCCTATTCCTTGTGCAGGACTCTGACAGCAAATCTGTCATCACCCTGTACATTTTTTTTTTTTTTTGTGAATTATTCTCTTAAGAGAAAAAGAGGGACATGTTGTCATGTCCGCTTCCTCGTGTCTTGCTCTGGGTACGTGATGCTCAGGGAAGAGTGTTATCTGGAGGGAGAAGACCAATGTCAAGACTGGAGTGGCAGTGTGTTCTCCAGGTGGGGAGGGTTACCAGGTGGCTAACAACAAGTCCTGACCAGAGAGCAGAGGACTTGGGATATTTCTCAGAATCGAAGTGACACCACCTCCCACAGGAACCAGTTTTTACTCCTCAACACTCGCAGCCCCCTCCCCCTCCTTATCAGCCGGTCTTTGCCACTCTCCAGGTCAGGACCCACACCTTTCTTCTTTCCACAAACCTTGCCGCCAAGCACCAGGTCTAGCCGGAGTTTTCAGCAAGAATAAACGAAGCAGCTTACACCTGAGCCCCTGAGCCATGACGCACTGGGTCAAATCTCTCCTCTTCCAGACCACTTTGGTCTCCAAAAAAGGGGCACTGTCACCAACCTCGCCTGACAGAGAGGAAGCTGCTGTAACTGGAACTTACTAAGTAAGGGCTTTTAACCACGACACCTTTTGAATTCCCTTAGGGTTTTTGAGGACCCAAAGTACCCTAAAACTTGTGAATCAAAGAGCCTGGAGAGCCATGATTCAAGAGCAATGACAGAGGAGCTGGGAGAACCGCCAGTTTTCTTATTTCCTAGGCCTGACAGGAGCCCAATAATCCTGGGCTGTGCCCCTGGAGAGAACAGACCAGACCTCGTATTTCCAAGGCAAAGCATGAAAGTAGGTAGGAGCTCACAGTCTGAGACTAGAGACTCCCAGCCCTCTGCTGGGGCTCCTATCTTCCTTCTAGCTTGGCATCAGCAAGCCATTTCCCTCCTCCAGGATTTAATCCTTTATTTTGTTTGGACTTTCTGCCTTCTCTTACCTGTCATAACACATTACCCGGCAATACAGAGCATCTCTCAGGGGCTTTCCCCTTCTATCACGTGGAGGATCTCTGTGGCTCTCAACCTTGACTGCTCTTGAAACACCAAGGAAGGTTTGAGAGTCTCAACCTGGAGGCCCTACCTCAGACAGAGCTGAGGACCACTGTACTGTCTAGGTGGCTGCCACTGGTGACAGACAGTACCATATCAGTGGCCCAGAAGTGGTAGGTACAAATAAGTGCCACCTAGCTTCCTGATTCAGGCCTGGGGGCTGTCAGTTCTCACTCTGCTTCTTTTCAAAGTACATGTTTTAGCTGGGTGTGGTGGTGCAGGACTTTAATCCCAGCACTCAGGAAGCAGAGGACGGCGGATCTCTGGGTTCAACACAGGCCTGGTCTACATTACGTAGTAAGTTCCAGGCCAGTCAGATGGCCAGAGCTACATAGTGAGAACATTTTAAGGGCATTGCAATTCAAACACTCCGGGGAAGGGCTTGAAGATCAGCTAGCCTACTCACACCTTCCAGGTTGTTTTTTTTTTTTTTTTTTTTTTTTTTTTTTTTTTTTTTTTTGGTTTTTCGAGACAGGGTTTCTCTGTGTAGCTTTGCGCCTTTCCTGGAACTCGCTTTGGAGACCAGGCTGGCCTCGAACTCACAGAGATCCGCCTGACTCTGCCTCCCGAGTGCTGGGATTAAAGGCGTGCGCCACCACCGCCCGGCTCCAGGTTGTTCTTATACTAAAATTTGACAGTGTGTGGCTTCCTTGATTGATGGCCAGTGCTGACCTGTTTGCAAGATGCTCTTATAATACAGGTGACTTGGACTTGAGCACCTGAGCCTATGACAGGACAAAGAAGGAAAAGCATTGTACTGCACCCTACCTTCAGTCTCAACTTCAACTTCTTTACTCTGACCAAGGACCTCCCCATGGGAAGGGAAATCTGTGGAAGGCGGCATCCAAGCCAAAGTCATGGAGGAGTTTCCTTCAGACCTTCTCCTCCAGAGGTGACCCCACCAGGGAGAAGAGAACAAACTCAACAATGCTCAGCTAAATTGGAAATTCAAGTAACCTGAAGTGCAAGGCTGAATCGGAGAGATGGGCGATTCTCTGGACTACTTCAAAAAGAATTCAGACACAGCATTTTGTCCCCGCTGTCCCCAGGCCAGCTGCTACTTTCAATCACCCTGTGCAGAGCCTTGGCATGTTTGTGAATGGGTGGTCCCTAGGATGTTGACGCAAACCTTATTGGATATCTTATGGCGTTAGAAACTAGTGATAACCGTGAGGTATTCACACCCAAATTTAAAGACATTATCTGGGCTTTCTGTTTATTCTGAATTAATTTGATAATTGATCACTTCAGCAGCAGTGTCAAAATTTTTCACTGGGATTATCAGAATAATTATATCAGTCTCTACTTATGATTGACACACAGACCTGGTTGACAATTCCTTCAGGATGCGGTGCTCCCAGAGAATGGTTCCAGTTCCTATTCTCCCACTACTCAGCTCCCAGTCAACCCTATGGTGACACCAGGATGCCAATAAGAGAAAGTGAAGGATAAGATTAAGAGAAAGAAGAAATACAAGGAAAGGAGAAGGTGTGGATGAGACAAAGAGAGAGAAAACAGACAGGGGCGGGGGCGGGAGGCACAGAGACACTTCCACCTCCAGAGCAGAACTGGAATGAATTTGAATCAGTTGTTTTTCTTTTAATTAACAAAATCTCTAGAATTTTACCTTGCCCCACTCCATCTCAAGCTTGCCTTTAAGGTACTTTCTGTGCCAAATCAAACCTTCCAAAAACACTATGCAGACTGGAGGAAGCATCTACACAGCATTTGTGATGTGTTCATCTGCCACGTGCAGATGATCAGTTTAACATTTCTCATTTCACTGCTCACTTGCTAGCACAGCTGTGGTCTTCAGAAACCTTCCGAGGTTTGCTCTTTGTCTTTTTACAAACAAATATTTTTGTTGCCACGGACCAAAGAGCCCAGTGAAACATTCTGCTTAGGTATAGAACTTAAAAAGTGGCTTACCTGGTATTGAAGATGCGCTCTCACAATTCCAAATCAGGAGGAGGAGGCCCATGATCAGCAGGAGCGGCATGGCACTGATGGACATAGCTTCAGGGACCATGTTGGTGACATTATAGTGCATGGGATTCAGCATTTCCAGGAACATCTTGTGATCTTTGGCCTCAGAAGAAAAATTCACAGTTCTATAGGAACAAATCGGTGGTGAGGTCAGAAACTAAACCCCTGGGTTTGGCTACGGCTCCTGTCACTTCTAGGGGTGCTAGAAAGGAGAGATGGGCACTTTGTTTTATAGTGATTGGACATTTAGACAAGACAAATTTGTGGTTACAAGTCAAAACAAGGATGGCCTTGGTAGACTCAGGTCCTGTTCAACGGTTGGTCTGATAGAACTTTATCATCTTGCCCTTGAGTGTGTAGAGTGACGTACATGCTCAATTGAGAGTCAACTCTCTGAAGTTCATTCCAGAGGAACAAACACTGTGTTACTTCAGCAGCAGCTTGACTTAGGCAATCCTCTTTCTTTAAAGCAGACTCAATTAATGAAACAAGTCAAGGGCAGGTAAAGGCTCCCACCACTAAGTCTAACAACCTGAGTCCAGCCCCCGGGACTCACATGCACACTCGTGCGCATGCACGCACGCACACACACGCACACACACACACACACACACACACACACACACACACACAGTAAATATATCAATACAAAAATAAAGAGATAAAATTAAACAAATACAAGCAATGTCCCAGTCCCTTCCCTTGATCAAAATTACTTTCTCAGATTGTACATTTCTACAGAAAGAATGCATTTCTTAGACACTATCCAAGTGTTCTGGGTCTTCATTAGGGTGTCTATGAAATTCAAGACGTGCTACACGTGACAGTCTTTCTCTGGTGGCTTTAATGGGGATCTAGGGAAGTAGAACCCCAGACCAGTTAGACAATGTTCTTGGGGGTAAGTATGAGAGGTGGGCTGGGGGTGGGAGAGGCAGATAGGAGAGAGAGAATAAAGAGAAGAGAAACAAAATGAAGGGGATGGAGAAAGAGAATCAGCAGAGCAGCATGCCCTGGCAGCAGGCTCAGGGGCCACGCAGCCGGCGGGTCCCAGTGATGGCGTGTATCCTGTGCAGGATAATTCCTTTTCAGGCTGAGTTGGTTTTCAACAGCAGTGTGCTGCTGGGTCTTTCAGTGGTGTTTTATCAACTCTGCTCACAGGAAGGCTCTGTAGGGATGGATGGCAGGGGCTCCAGAAGCCAAGTTGAAGAAACTCCTAGCATTATCATCAAATGGATTTTCCAGTGGCAGATGACACTCTCCATGTTTTGCCCTTATGTAGAAAGTGACAGAAGTTTAGGAGACTCGCCAAGACTGGCTGGGTGTTACCTCATACTGAAACTCAACTCAAATTGGATGTCAGGAGCTGTGTGGATCCCCTGATCTACTACAGAAAATTTTGTATGTACTCATATACACTTTTTTTTTTTTTTTCAAGACAGGGTTTCTCTGTGTAGTCCTGGCTCTCCTGGAACTCACTCTGAAGACCAGGCTGGTCTCAAACTCAGAAATCAGCCTGCCTCTGCCTCCTGAGTGCTGGGATTAAAGGCGTGCACCACCACTACCTGGCTTCACATACACTTTTTTCAAAAGATTTTATTTTTATTTATGTGTATGTGTTTGCATGTGTGTATGCACACATGTGTGCAGATGCTTGAAAAGGCCAGAAGAGGGTGTCAGGAGCCCTGGAGTTAGGGATACAAGCATTTGTGAGTTGCCTGATACAGGTGCTGGGAATTGAATGTGGGCATTCTGTAAGCAGTCAGCACTCAGCCCGAGTGGCCTCTCCAGGCCTCACATGCACTCTTGAGAAGAGAAAGGCCATAACTTTCACCAGATTCTTAGGCACTATGTGATAATATTTCTCCCCTGATCTCTATGCAACCTTTGATTTCTAGTAACTATAGAAATTTCACAATTGAACTCCTTCAGTGCATTCATCATTTTGCTAATTCATTATATTACCCTATCATTTAAATAATAATTACGTGTGTGACACTGAAGATGCCTGTGCATATATCGAACAGCTTAATTGTTACAGGTTCCCAATTGATCTACTTGGAGAATGAAGAATCGGCCACTGTTCTTAGCTGCTTCCTTTGTTAATGAGCAGCTATTTTGAATGGGTTGAGGCTTTTTATTTTGCAGAGAAATAAAAAATGCTCAATGGAGAAAGAGAGCAGGCCAATACAGTGGCTCAGCAGGTAAAGGCTCCTTCAGCCAAGCTTGATGACCTGAGTTCGAGCTCTGGAACACACATGGTAGACGGAGGGAACCTCCTCTCACATTGACCTCTGACTCCCACAATGGCACTGAAGCATTTGAGCATGTGCACTTGCAAGCATGCACGTGTGCACATACATACACACACACACACACACACACACACACACACACACACACACGCATGCACTAAATAAAAATTAACAAATTAAATCATGGAAGAGAAGGAAGAAAGGAATGTTCAAATACTTTTGATAACTTTTTTTTTTAATAAGAAAGGTGCAAGTTATAAAGCTCAGGTTGACTTGGACCTTGAACTCACCTGCCAATACTGGGCTTATGAGAATGCACCACCATGCCCAGCTTACGAACCTTGCATGGGTCAGACAATGTTCACAGACACCTTTAATCCCAGCACTCAAGAGGCAAAGTCAGGTGGATCTCTGTGTTCAAGGCCAGCCTGGTCAACAGAGTGAGTACCAGGACAGCCAGGGCTACACAAAGAAATCAGGTCTCAAAAAACAAAAAAAAAGAAAGAAGATAAAGAAAATCACTTTAAGGCATGAACTGTTTTAAATTATTGTGTACAAAAACATTTATTTTATTATTTGTTTTTCTAAGAAGTATAAGTTGTGATAAGAGTAATGTTTTGGCCCGAAAATTTAAAGGTCACAGAATAATAACAAATGTTCTCTAAAGTTTCAAGACTGTTTTGTGCAATTTCCAATTGCATGTCTGTGTTTACAGTAGTTAACCACCACTCAAAGCAGAGGCTGCTGATGTCTAGATCCAAACAGGACTCAGAAGCCTGGCTTCCTAAAAGCATGTCAAACCCCCGTGAGAGCATCACATAAAGAAAAACAGAAAAAGAATTTTTGTAACACTTTCAAAACATTGGCTGTATGGCAGATACTATTCCAACATCAACCCTGTGAGCAATGTATGATTGTCCTCATTTTACAAGAAGAGATTGAGCTGTGGGAAGGTCAGGTGACTTGTGACTTGTCCCAGGGTACCCAACTTTTGTATGGCAGAGCCTGGATTGGCACCCACGTGGTCTTCTCCAATGCCCATGTTTTTATTTGTGCCATGTTGTTGCTTGTTATGACAATCTTGTCATAACAATCTTGTAATGACAATCTACATGCGGATACTATCCCATCTTTGATGGGGTAGGTTATTTAGAAAGAGCTTGTTTAAGGATTGAATTTTTCTGATGTCTGGATGGCGCAGGTGGAGCGTTCCCCTGAGTCCTGTCTTACTAATCTTTGGTTTTTGTGTTTGGCAGAACATTCTGATGAGCTACCTGGGTTGGTTGAACAGAATCTTTTGAATAGCAGACAGGAATGTAGACAAGTCCTGGAACTTCAAAGAGGTAGCTTCAAGTCCCCTGCCAGTAACACCATGCTCTCACCCCCAAAGCCCACGTGCCTAGCTGTTTGCCATGAGTTGAAATGTTCCTTCCTGGAGGCAGACGGGAGGCTCAAGCTCAGTCTCTTCAGAATGTTGTATGACTCATAAGACCTCCCTCCAGAGTGGTTGGTAGAAGAGGGAACAGTTGCTGTGGAGAGGAGACTCTATCCTGGGACTGCCTACAAGTTGGTGAGAGAGCTCCTGGCAAGTCACACTTGTGAGACATAACCCAGGTTTGGGTGGGCCTTTGGTGAAGCACCTGCCTTGGACTCCCCTATGTTCCTGTGACACCAATACACTCATTGTCCCTAAGCTAGATTTGGGAGGAATTATACCTGTAATCTGTTGTCAATGGCCTATCAGGGGTAAGTAATTTTTTGTACATTTCCTCAGGAGAAACCACACACCACACCACACCACACCACACCACACCACACACACACACACACACACACACACACACACACACACACACATACACACCACACACACACACACACACACACACACACACACACACACACACACACACAAGACTTTCAAGTGCTTAGCGATATCAAGAGCAATATTACTACCTGAGTCTCTACTGGCTTTCTGAGGGTCATCACTTTGGAATCTTCTATTGCTATTTTCAGGTAGTCTTTACCTATTATGGCATCCCATGCTTGGGCCCACCTGATACAGGGCTCCAGACACATCTCTCCAGGCCTACCTCGGGTGTCCTGGCTAGTGTCTATTGAAATTTTCCCAGGGGCCTGCCCTGAGAAGATTTCTCCCAGAGTCCTGGGGAGACGCTACGGCCCGCATGGGGTAAGCTGAGGAAAAGAATCTATGGACACTGGGTTCTTATGTCCGTTTACTTTATTCCTCTGAGATGAAATTCTATCTACTTCGAGTGGAGGGCCGTTTTTTGTCTGGAGAACATTCTGTGCTTAGAAGTAAAGGGACGGATGCATAGCAGACAGGGTAGAGGTGGGCAGGAAAGCTCGATGCTAATAAGAAAAAATAACCATCAGTTAAAACAAAACACACAGAGAAAGCTGGGGACCTAGAGCTCCCAAAGAGGGAGGCTTGTGTGAGGTGCGCTAGGCTGGACACATTCACATAGACTGTGATAAAGCTGCTGGGATTTGAGAAGCTGACCAAGTGTGACATGGGAAGAAATGAAAGGTGTTGTCAAAATTTCTTCCCCAGGGAAGAAAGAAACTATTCCCTCCTTGGAAGGTCCTGAAGACAATGGAGGTGTGATTCCACCACAGCTCACTCTGGGGAGCCAGTGAGTTAATTAGGCTTCCTTGCAGAGAAAGACTGTGGACAGGAGCACCAGTCTCACTGGGAAGTCGGCATGGCTCTTCACTCTCCAGTAAATACATAGATATAGAGATGAACCCCCTCCCTAGCCCTTCCCACTTTATAGACTCCAGTCCCTCCCTGGCTTCACACGCAATCAGGGCAGAATTGCATATACGACTGGTTAGGAGGAATGCCCGGA